TACAGTTCATTGTAGGTATGTACATTGCCTTTATTGATGAGAGTTTATTTATAGGTACGTTCTATCCATTTCGATGTCCTTTTGTTTCATTTGAACAGAACAAAAAAAAAAAAAAAAACGATTTACAAAATCTTTGTCATGACGAAGTTAGCACACTCTTTCTGCTTGCTGCAATAAAGCTTCCCGTGAACTCTCGTTTCCTTCGTTTTCTCCATTGTGTTATTTTTCTTTCTATAAACTTCGCAAAATATTGATTAGGATGCAACGAAAAAGTTGTAAAAAGAATTCTTCGATAAATTTTTACGACAGTGTTAGTTCACATTAAACAACAAGAAAATGTCTTTTTTAAAAAAAAAAAAAAACATTTTACCAATTTCTCTCTTCACCTTAAGAGTTCACATTACTCATTTGTGGTTTCATTTGGCATTTGCTAGTTGTGTCCAATCACGATCGATGGATGTCCTTTCGTGTTAATTGATGTAACTTTGATGCTGTTTCAGTCACATATTTAGCCGAGTATTTACTTATAGCTTTTCAGGAATAGATTGATTATCTCTTATTCTCTCTGTATTGCTGTTACACATTCTAATGATTATATTACTGTAATTCAGCAAGTATTTCTTGATAATATTAATGTTTAACTTTGTTGATAAAGAAAGAAGGGAAAATTGATGGTTTCTGTTAACCTTTTCAATGATTAATAGAAATTTTGCGTTAAATCTTTTAAATTTTCACTTAGAAATTTAGCTAAACCATAACGACTGATTGTCATTCGTTATTAACTGCGAATCATTATTAAAATATACATTTTATTAACACAGTCGCTTGCTTTTCTTCTTGATTTCAACGGAATATTAATGGTTTATGAATTTTTAACAGATCATAGAATAGCTACAGAAGATGAACTGAACCGAAAGTACGTAGAGGCGAAGAGTTAGGCAGTGAATTCTGATATGGCATTTACTGTTTGTATATTGGCAAATAGTAATTGCTTTTTCAAGGCATTTGTGTTCATCAAGAAAAATTTATGTCATTTCTTCTTCCACCTGTCTGTTACTCAATCGTTTTTAACATTTTGCCAAATATACAGTATGGTGAAGTGCTCAAGAAGTGAAATGATACAGAGATAGACGTACTCAAAACGTGTTAGCAACGTGCTCGTCATCCAGTCCATTACTCTTTCCTGTCTAATACAGTAAAAAGCCGTCCGAACACGAGGCGAACGTATGACAAAGTGCACTCCCATTCATATATGATGAATAACGTTGACCTTTTCGTTTAGCTATTCCAGTTTTTAACTGAGTTAACCTAGTACCTGCATTAAAATTATTCGTCGTTTAATATATTGTTTTGTTGTTCCATAAAATTACGTTAAGACTTAAGAGGGAGAGAGAGAGAGGTAGTGGATTATGAAGTAGTAAAAGCTGGAATTATGAATCAATAAAGAGTGGAATGGAAGAAAAAAGTGTAACAAGGAATGAAGCAAGCTGTGATATTGAAACATAACATTGCTTTTTTTGTTGCCTTCATAATCAGTGTTAATTATCAGGAATTGATAAAATAAATGGTTCATAAAATATCAACCTTTTAAAAAAAAATTAAATTCAAAGCTTTACTTAACTTCTTTTTAATCAATATGTTTTTTTTTTTTTTTTTTTTTACTAATTTCTGTTTAATTTTTTTCAACAATTTTTAATCACATCTAACATATACTTGAAAAAATTTTTGGGTCTATTCCAGTTTATTATTCTTCCGATTCATTCCACTACTTCGAATTTCGGAATATTGATTTTTCGTCATTAATTTTGACTCTAAAGTTCAAACTTAGAACTTTTGTAGTCAAAAGCGCTCAGTAAATAATAATACAAAATGTTTGAGCTATTTTAATACAACATTAGAGTGTCGTAATAATTTATCCTAAGCCACTCTTTATTGAACTATTCTACTCTTTATTAAAATTCCAATTTTACTCTTCTGAAGATGAAAAAAAGTTAAATCATTTATAAGTATTTACTTGGCAATTATAAGTATTAGACATGATAAAACAATATATTCGTTTTGTAGTCTAAATTTCTTTTTTAATCTACTATATGTATCCAATCAAACTTCTTAAAATCAAAAATTAGACTAGTAGATAAGTGTTTGTTTGATTTATATTTGGTTTATCTCTTAGATAAGTCTTGTAAATCTTATGGGTTCTAATCAAATGAACTTTGTTTTTCAATTTTTAAGAGACATAAATGAAATTTTGGGAGCAATCATCATGTTTTATTTAGAAGAGAAAAGCTTTGATATCATTTCTAAGTGATATTGGTAGCGAACACTGATAACGTGAGTACTTCCAAAAGGGTTTGTTCATATGAATTCATGGAATCTGTTTGCATGGATTATTTTGAAAATAAGAAGTACAACCATAACTGCTGACTTGCTCATGAATTTAATCAGGCTATAATCCTTTAAGTTACAATCCTCTACCGAAAATCTTACTGACTCATTCATTGTTTATTTTTAATTCATAATTAAGCTTTAACTATATAAGAGAAAAGCATGTGAGGAATGAGAAGGAAAAAACTGAAAATAATTTTGAAATATCTAGTATTAAAAGAAAATGAAAAGGGACGAAGTTTTTGAAATAAGTGAAAGGGAAAGTTGTTTCGACAAAATATTTAAAATAATTTTCGAAAAAAAAGGTGAAATTTTATTCAGTAAAAAATATTATAAATTTATTGTGGCAATAATGTGTCACATTTTTTTGCCTCTAAAAAAAGTAGTTAATTGGCCTCTTCAAAAGTCCTATCTGAAACATAGGAAAAAATAAAAAAATAAAAAAAAAATTTTTTTTTTTGACACAAAAGCGATGCAAGCTACAACACTGCTTGCAATGTTGTCGAAGCGCTTAGTTTCTGCTTGGCAAACTTTCTCAGTGTCATCAATTTGATACTTTCAGAAGAATATCTTCCAGAAATATCTTTCAGAAGAAAGAATATCTTTGAATATTCCTGAAAATAAAAAACCAGAATTTTTCACTTATTTCTGTCAAATTTCAATTAATTACCTGTCTCAAGAATAAAATGAAAGATTCTTCAGCATATTTCTTTCTTCAACCTTACTTGTACAATAAATATTTTATTTGGTCTAACTGCATTCAGATATGGTTTTTCGTTCTTATGTTAGGAATATAGCATAAATGATAGTAATAATTTAGTATTACTTTAAAATAAATAATTGAATTTATTTAATTTCAGTTTTTCAATTCTTCCTGGCAAGCTTTCATATATTTAGTTTCCACATTATTCGATTGTTGGAAATAAAAACGGAAATTAAGAATTTATTGGTTTATGGTTCATAAACTACGAAATATTTTTCCAACATAAATCTTCATTTGACATTGAAATGACTTTTATTTAAATGATGCAAGGTGAATGATGAATCATTAAATGGCATTCAGTGCACGAAAACACTATTCCTGTCAGTTTTGCATAATGTGAATAATACCTAAAACTTTAAATTTTAGTTTCGTAATAATAAAACTTTGCAATAAAAAGTTGGTTTTCCAATTTTTGTTTGCATTTATTACTAAATCTCGACACTGTTTAACTGTTAAATCAAATTTGTCAAGAGAATTGGCTCATTTGTTCCTATAAAATTTTTGCTGAAAATTTCATATGATATTTGTTTTATTTTTATTACAATTACTTCAACTTAGTTTTCAGATGTTTAAACTGTTCCGCTGACTAATAAATAGTCTTCAGAAAAGAAATAATACAATGACTGCCTAATCTTCAATTTTTTTTAATTGCAATAAATTGAAAGCAATTAGTAGAAAATGAAATTGATTTTTTTGTTAACTTTCGTCTCGCCAAACCGAGCTATCACCTAATTTGGCTCTCATCAAATTTTATTATCAGTAGTGCTAGTTAAATTTCTGCGCTTATAAAAGTCTGAATAAACATTTTGAGAGAGAAAAATTTGAACTTTTTCTAGTATATCTTTTCACTATTGACTTGTTCTCTAGTGAAGAAGAGCTGAAAATAATAAAACGTTTAATGTAAATAATGAGAGGATATGCTGAATTTTGAAAGTGTTTAAGCAGTCATTCTATTGCCTCTCCCTTTTTCCTTATCCTTTTGCGCCAATCGCAATAATTACAAATGTATAGAAAATTGAACTTTGCACCTCCAATGAACCACTTTGTAGACACTATTTTTAAAAAGAATAATGCAATAAGTACTATATTAATTTTAATTAATATCAAAAAACAGATAACCGCTTCAATTTAAAATGAACAGTAAAGTTAGAAGTCGAAAAGCGCTTAGTATTTAAAACTGCTATTATAAAGCATCTCATACGTTGAATTATTTTCAGCTTTCATATTTCTCACTAGTAAGGATTAAATCATTTTTCCTTGGCTTGCTTTTATCATACTTGTTTTGTAGAATTTTCTTATGATGAATATATTACTTCGACAGTCAGTAAGAAATCACATATCCAAGCTACTCTTTATTTCAACATAGTATGCATCAAAAGATGTCTACCAGAAAATATGCTTACTTGAATAATTTATTTATAAATTGAAAAACTTTTAAATCTTCTGAAATGTTTTCACGTTATTCATGATTTTTAAAATAGCACAAGTTTCCTTACATTTCATCCAACAAATTAATTTCTGCTACCACGAGATCTGCAACCGTCTTAATGCAAGACAATTCAGTCTCAAACAATTACTAATTTCTCTGTATAATTCCGATCAAACTCTGGAAACCTCTGACTATGCATTCATATCCATATAGAAATTCTTGATTCAGTTTTATCGCTGATGTCCTTAGTCACTTGTTTGAAAGATAACGGAGAACGAGAAGCTTCAGCGTGACAGTCCCAACAACAACAAAAAAAAAAAACAATCGATTCTATTGTCCTTTGAAACTTTACAATCTTTTATTCGTTCCTGTAGTTGTTCCAGTGTGAATCTTCAAAGTGTTACTCTACATTTGGGTAGAGCTATGATTAATGTGGAAAGTTCACTATTGGAAGACGGTAAAGTCGTTATAATGGATGGAAGTAAGTCGGATATCAAAATTGATGCAAACGAGCAACAGAGCAAAGAATCGTTTGCTGACTTCTGCAAAAGTACACACTTTATCGAAAAATTGAAATTCAGAAAAATTCATGTTGTAATGATTCAAATTTTTCATCATAAAATAACTAAGCATTTAACCGACCATAATTGGGCATTCATTTTAGGACAAATGAGAAATGTTCTGTACTTCCTAGTGGAAGATTGGTGTCTCTCAGCAATGCTTGGCATCATAACGGCCATTTTATCTGTTGTCATGGATATTTGCATCGAAAAATTACAATACAGTAAAATCTCATCCATTCTTTTTCACGAATTGAAGCTCAGTTTTTCAGAATTATAGAATTTATTTAAGACACTCTACAAATTTCATTTACATAAATTTGTTCTATTTATCAAATAAAGGCCACGTGGCTTTCTATGAGACTCTGCGAATACATTGGTACCATTATTTGGCTTTGTTACATTGGCTTCTACATATCGTTCTATTAACATTTCTTTCCGCTGCTTCATGTTTATGGATTTCCAAGCAAGCCATTGGTTTGTTTATTAGGCTTTTTTCAAGTCAAATGAATAGGGGAACGGTTTATTTCTTGATTTAATCTGACTTATTAGACCAACAACAAAAAATAAATTACGCTGTCAATAAGTCAATGAAAGAGATTTTATTCTTGAAAAGGAAATATTGCAAAAACTGATTTTCGTCCTTATTTAGGCTCAGGTATACCAGAAGTGAAAGTAATAATGCACGGATTTAAAATGGAGAATTATCTTACTGTTCAAACACTAATTGCAAAAATGATTGGATTAACGTTGGCAATTGGTAGTGGCCTCCCAATCGGAAAAGAAGTTTTTATCATTTTCTAAAATAATGGTTTATTTCTCTTATTCAGTACTCTAAAATTATATCCTTACCTTTCTGATATAGGAATTTAAATAATTCCTAGTAACTCTAAATTTCTGGAAACTTAAGATCTAAGTCTCTAAAATTCAGTTCTAGTTCTGAAAATTTCCGAGTTGCAGGGACCATTTGTACATATGGCTGCAATTGTGGCAACTATTTTGAGTAAAGTAACTACCAGTTGTCATTATACGGAATTTTTTGCAAATGAAGGTCGAGAAATGGAAATGCTCTCTTCTGGCTGCGCTGTTGGTATTGCGTGTACATTTTCAGCTCCTGTAGGAGGTGAATTTCTTTCTAAAAAGATCAGTTCAGTATACTATCGATCTAATTTCTAATTTCATATTGAAATTTTCTTAGCAAAATATGCTTGTAAAGTTTTATTTGTTATTTCAACAGCAAAATTTTTGTAGCAGTACTGTATGCAATAGAATCCACATCAAAATATTTTGCTGTAAAAAATTACTGGCGTGGTTTTCTGGCTGCTACTTGCAGCGCCATTGTTTTTCGATTTGCTAATTTCTTTGTTACTGCGGAACAATCCGGTAAGTAGTCTGATAAATTTTAAAATTCCACTCTGTTCGTATTACTAATGAAGACTATAATTAACTGCATTTCAGGAACCATTATGGCTTTTTATCAGACGAGTTTTCCGACTGAATCGTTTTTGGTGGAAGAGCTACCAATATTCGCATTTTTAGGGTACGCTATTGGAAGATTCCAATAACCACTTCGAGACACCCACCAAGTCGGGTTGTAGAAAACACGTAAGACTACGAGACTCTTGGATCGCTGTAATGTGAATGACGTGATGATTCTTTTGACTGGTTTACTCAATCAATCTATCAATCACATTGTGCGCCATTTGCAGATTACTTGGTGGCCTATTTGCAGCACTATTTATTTTCACCCACAGAAAAATAACTTTATTTCGTCAAGACAACAGCATCTACAGAATGATTTTCCGCAAAAAGTGCAATTTGAATTCTTTTAAAATTTAACTTCTTACTTTCATCTGTGTTTCAAAGAACAACATACAGTTTTGTAATTGTTTTAAATTTGTCACCTTTTCTCTTGCTTTATTTATTTTCTATTTATCTGTTACAGCTTTTTTGCATTCACAATTTTTATGGCATTAGTTGTTGGCATTCTTACTTATCCGGAAGGTTTTGGTCGTTATATTGCCGGACAAGTACGACTTTATTTTTTTTCTTGTTAAGCTAACATTATTTAAATATAAAAATTATTGGCATAATCTTTTTTAAAGTTACTGGCATCGCTTAGAAATTCTTTTTTGGTTTGCTATGCAAATGATTTTTAATTTGGTTAATATTTAGATTAGAGTTTCTAATATTTAGATTGGTAGTAACTCAACAAACAGTAATACCTGAATTCCAAACGGAAAATGGGTTTTAAATTCCATATTAAAGCATTTTGCACAATTGTCTGATTAATTCTGTCTGATATCAACTATCGTAATTATAGATAGGAAAAGCAATAAGTATGGCATCAGCACCGATATGAGACATTTGTTACTTTTTTTTCACTCTTAAAAATGGTCTTAGCCTTTATAAAATTGATATTTGGATTTATCATGTTAATTGTCACATTGTATTATATTTAAAAAAAAGAAAAAGTATAAATGAATGCTAATTTTCAGTTGACGTTCCGTGAAACGATGGCTGATTTTTTTAACAACTGCACAATGCATATCACAAATACCAGTAAACAACCGTGCAGTAAGAAGCTTCTTCAACACTGGACCAGTGTTTCATCAGAAAGCCAAATAACCATATTTCATTCACTTACGTGCTATTTCATCACTTACGTAATGCACATCTATCTCCTTGATTTTTAATTTTGAACAAATTAATGCGAGAATCTGATTAGTATGAGAATTAGTATGACCTTCCGAAAGTTTGTACCCTTTTAACTAATAAATTCATATCACACCAGTATTTTAGAATAGGCTTCACTTGCATTTCTGATAATAAATTAGTGCTAAATACTAAAAGTGATAATTTTGATAAAAGTGGAAAATTTCAGTTCTTCCTAGTATCAATTTGCATATCTATCAATGTGCCAGCAGGTGTTTTTGTACCTTCGTTTGTAATTGGAGCAGCTGGAGGTCGTTTGACGGGTGAAGTGATGGCACTTTTCTTTCCAGAAGGTCTTCGCGGACCGAATGGGCCACCTATTTTTCCTGGACTTTATGCGGTTGTTGGTATCTGCAAGAGTTTGATTTATCTTTAATCCTTTCATCAGATAATTTATTAGTTAATTTTTTCAAACCATCATTAGCTAACATTGAAGTAATTCTTTGTATGAAAAGATTGTCTTCGTAGGGTTTGCAGACTGTCTAACGAAAATGTATTTCTAGGTGCAGCAGCTTATACAGGTGCAGTAACACATACGCTTTCTGTAGCGGTAATTATATGCGAGCTTACGGGGCAACTTACTCCAATACTACCCGTTCTGGTACCATTTGGTCCCGTTAACTTTTCAGTTGGTAGATAATTATTTCTCATACCGGTGCCAAATAAAGATCTATAAGTTATATAAATAATGTGGAAAGAGCATTCAATGTAAGGAAATATTAGGAAATTTGGAATGAATTTTGATTTAACGATTTTCCGAAGCAAATGATTAGAGAAGTGAAAGATAATGAAATAATTGCCAGGTAAAAAAGATAGCGTATCATTCTCTCTTAAAAATAAATAATATAGCCTCAAAGAATTCACTAAGATTTTGAATATGCAGATAGCAATGCTGGTGGGTAATGCAGTTTGCAAATTTTTGCAACCGTCTATTTATGAAAGTATAATTCGAATCAAGAAATATCCATATCTACCAGATTTGCCGCCTTCTCGAATCAGGTTATTTTAGATTATACATGAGAATTTCTACAAGACTCCACGGCAAACTACTGAAAAATCAGAATATTAAATTATTTAAATATTAAATCAAATAATATCCATCACAAACAATCAAACACTAACCTCTAAAAATAATTTACCAGTAATTTATTTTTATTAATTCATTGCTTAAAATTTCAATGGAATTTTTTTATTCCAAACTGTGCAAGTATAAAATTATAGTGTGCATACAATAAAAGTGGAACAAATTATGGTTAAAGATATTATTTATATTACAAAGTCAACAACCTATAGAGAACTTCAAGAAATACTACGCTTTGCGCCAACGCTTAAAAGCTTCCCTGTCGTTACTGATCGAAGTATGTCTGTCGCTTCTCAAATTGTTCTGGAATTTTGGTCTCTTTTCAAGAACAATTTAAACAAAAAGTTTTTATAATTGTATCTTAATAATAATGTTTGTTCTGGCGGAACTGGCATGCACATAGTCACTTTGATAAGACCGTTTTATATAATTAATTCATTTAATGTGCCCAGTTCGTGAACTGAGGGCTATTGGTGTTTTTGTCGGCAAATTTAGAATACAAAATATTGCTTGGATCTGTAGCAAAAAAATATTTGGCTGTAATGATGAGGCGACAGTTGATCGATGCAGAATTCAATCCTTTTTCTAATAAGAGAACTCCTGCACAGATTTTTAACAGCATAAAAAGGTATTCTTCTTGTTTCTTTATAATTTAACTGTATTAAAATTCATATTATAAATTACTGTGTTGCTTTTGTTTTTTAGAAATTAGAAAAAAATTTTTTGACATTTAGCTATTGGCATCAGTCGGCTCTTATTTTTCTGCACTTAGCATTTTTACCTTGAAAGATACATATTTTACCTCAGATCTTCACTTCGATTGTCTAAAAGACAACGAGGTCAGTCAAATGGCGCAAGTAGCGCAGTACCATTGGTACCGAACGCCAAGGAAAATTTGCCTGATGAAGGATCGATCACTGGAAATACGTTGCTTTCAATTTCACCTCTTCATGCTCCACATGGTTATTTGTTTTTAATCTTTGGTTTATGAGTAGTGCAAAATTATCATTTAATCAGCTTTTTGCTGATGGAATTTTATAGTAAACATTAGCTTCACTTGGAAACTGAACTTTTGTCATAGCTTGGTCATTTTAATGCTTGTGAAAAAAGTTTTAAATGAAACAAATGTTGCTTGATAAAAATTAAAAAACTAAATGGTGTAATGGGGTTTATAAGCAATTAATAAATAAGCACTTCGAATTTTTTAATTTACAATTTGTGTGCTACTCGAAATTTTTATGTACTACACTTTTAGTATTTGATATTGCTAAAATTGTGTTTTAAATTAGATTGGTGCTATTTTGCTATAAGTGAAATTCCGTTCAGCTTATGATATCTTGTTATGTTATGGTCTAAGCCGTCAAAGAATTCAAAGAGTTTTTCCTCTATTTAATAAAAAAACATACCAATTTATTTTTTTAACGAATTTGGGATTTTGGAATTCGTTGTTGTACCTGTGGCTCAATCATATATCTTGAAAGTTATTCATTGCCGTGTTTATAAGTGTGTTTCAAAAATTGTTTTTAAGTTTATTAGAAAAAAAATTGATTTTTTAGTATGATGTTAAATGTTTCATTCGTCCTCAGTTAATAATCTTCTATTCATCTAGTGATATCTAATTCAAACAGTCTTACAGCATTATAAGAATTATTGCGAAGTAAGTGGAGAAAATATATTCATTATTTGAAAAGAGAAGCCAATAAATCTTGAGAATATTAGAGAATCAATTTCATATATGTAAATGACTTGAAGAGATGTTAATTAAGTTTTCATAAAATATCAAATACATTTTCTATCACTATTGGCACATTAAACAACCTGAAAACATTTTACTTAATTCGTTTCAGCACTGAATTGCAAAAATTTTCCTGTTGTTTGGTTGATGTTAAATATGGGTTTTGTAAGATACACTAGCAACAAAATTGATCTTATTTCATGAACCGAAGTGAATATTGGTGTTTTAAAAATGATATTTGTTTAGAAATATATTTTATTTGCATTGAGTGACAAATATGTTTCGGAAGTTTTGCCTTGCAGATTTACCATTATCAGCAATATTTGTAAAACCTACCGCCGATGAGTTGAAGAGAAGAGCAAAGGTCAGCAAAGATAACTTGCTAGATCAGGTGATAGATCTGGATGAAGTGGCTATCGATTCAGCTCCATTTCAGCTTGTTCTCGGTTCATCGCTATACAAAGTGAGTATAAATTAATCATAATTAATTTTTTCCAAAAGATCAGAACAATTCAGAACAGAGAAAATAAGAGGCAGATTTTTCAAAACAAAAATAAAAGAGTTGGAACAAGGTGGTTCGCAAATTTTTTATAATAAAGACACAAAAGATGAAAGTAAAAGAGGTTTAATTCAAAATGAAACTCCAGGTGCATACACTATTTTCACTTTTGGCGCTATCTCATGCATATGTTACCGATCGCGGGCGGTTGATTGGTGTCATCGCTTTGAAAGAGGTACTTTTTGCATGTTCAATTTCGTTCTATTCGTTAAAGTTAGGATAATGTTGCCAAATAGCATAGTTTAAATCAAAATCAATTGCTTTTTGTAAGATTTTGATTTGGTTATCTTTCATGTTTCATAAACCGATGAAATAGAGTTCCGTTTGAGTGAGGCGCAAAAGTTTTGATCGTTTGATTATGAAAGTCATATCTGTAGCGTAAAATGTTTAAATCTCAATTATTTCCAAAATGTTTAAAAAATTTCAATCAGTTATGACACATAGTCGTTGAGGAAAATATTTAGTTCAAGAATCTAATTAGCTGTTTAATGACATTACCTCTTACTACATCCATTTGAAAAGTTGCATTGTGTGACCAGAATCGTAGTAAATTTTATTCTACTTATGAAATTCAAATGATTGCTTTTAAAATTTACAGTTACGTGATGCGCTAGCAAATATATATATTCGTGGTGCAGTACCGGTGAATTCGGAACGGCAACTGACATCATTCTTGTCATGAAAGTTAGATGAATAGTGAAAAAGAATTCCTTGAAGTCACTGAGACAGATGGTAGGAATGATGACACAGTACGTTATACCTTATTTGTTATGAAGTCGAAATCAGGTTTAAGTATTTACCTATGATTTATGAAATGGATGGTAACCCCACACAAATTATTAATCCATTGTTTTTTATTTTCCAGCTATACAGATTAGTATTTCTTGGATTACCTAAGGTATACTTTTTTTTAATCGAAGTGATAACGTCATTATAGAAGGTCGGTGATTAAATTTTTTAGCCCTCTACTAACTTTGAAATCTTACTCCAGTTCTTCAAACAGAATCTTTTTAAGATCTTTCTGCTTTCTGCTGAGTTAGATTTGGAAATGTTTTCCTATTTAGTGATCCTGTATTTTTGAACAAGATGAATATTTAATGAAAAATTATGTAATATAATAAACACATTTAAAATATTGTGATCAATTCTCATAGTAATGAATTTAATATCATATTTAAATTTAATCACCATGATTGGCAGTCATTTCACCAAAGTAACAAATAAAATCTTTGAAAATCAAGCCATTCAGAGCTGTTAAAATCTGAAAAACCGTCTCTCAATCAAGTTAGGTGTACTGTATGATTGGCTGTGCTGTAGACCACCTTAATGGAATCTTGTTTAATAGTTTATTATCACTTAGTTCGCTAAAAAAATTTTTTAGTCTTGTATTATTTTAAATTTACTTATAAAAATACTAAATGATGTATAACGACTAGAGAGGTCAATTTCCTGTATTGAGTAGTTTCATTATTTCTTAGAAGATATTCATACCACTTTATTCACCTTATTTATACTTTACTCTTCTCTGCAGTATTGATAGGATCAATTTATAACAAAAACTTGTATCTCATAAACGTCAACTATTTCTTTTTCCCAATGATTTTACTTCTCTAAAGCATGGTGTATAAAAGTTTAGAATAGATTGCCTGTTCAATAGAAAAACTTATTCAGTGTTTTGCTGTAGAGTTCTAAAAATCGGAAGAGGCGGAAATGACCGATTTATAATAATAAATCAATTTATGACAATAACAGAATTTTAATTTCCCTTGTTTAGTTTGCATTTTATTATTGCTGTTCTTTGATAAAGTGTTTAATTTATTGTCACATAAAGTACTTCAGTTCAAAATTCCATCTTTTGCGTATATTTGTATATGCTGCATAAAGAATTGACTTAAATTCTAATCGTGATCTAAGCTAAAATTAAAATAATTCTGGTTTCCGTCTGGGAGACAAGTTTACATATCGGAAACATTTCATTGAAGTCAAATATTGTGTAAATTTGACAAAATGATACAATAATTAGACGATGAAGAAAATACTAACTTTACTAAAAAGAATATTACAACAATGCAAGAAAACTTCAAAAGATGGGAATAATTCGACCATCCGTAAACAAAGAAATTCCAACCAATTTATTTCCTTCTGTTTTTTTTTTTATCTTATAGTTAATTTAAAAATTAGCAAACAACCATTCTTTTAGAGGTGCATCAATACAGATAATAATTAAAAAAAGCAGCAAAAGGATTTAAAATTAGTAATGATTTTCTTATATTCGTATTAACAGTCGGAAATTTCCATTACATTTAAAACTATTATTTTTTTTTTCTTTTTTAAGATTCACCGCTGCATTTTCTTTCGTTGACCAATCATCATTTCAAGTCTTGTTTACGAATCAAAGCAGCATAGTTCCCGTCTAGTTCTACAAGCTCCTGATGTGTTCCCTCCTCGACGACTCGTCCATTTTGAACAAAAAATATTTGATCTGCATGCTGAATGGATGACAATCTATGTGCAACCGTAATACACGTTCGACCAGTACTTGCCGTATCTAATGCTTCTTGGACTGTCTGAATGATAAATAAGAAGACTAAGAACAAAGATATTGGAAAAAATTTAAATATCATTTATTTTCTGATGACTGAAATAAACCACATTTTTGTCAGGCGGTCATCACAAATTCCAAATCTCATGAATTACTAATTTATTAACAAATGAACTTAACGGATTACTCTTTAAAACTGTAGAATTTTTCGAAAGTAGAAACTAAGATTTTACTAATCAAAAAAACAAGTAACCCTTTCGCTTTCCGCGTCCAATGCACTGGTCGCTTCATCAAGTAACAGTATCTTCGGATTTCGAATTAATGCCCTAGCAATGGCAATACGTTGTTTTTGACCACCTGATAACTGTCCACCATGTTCACCAACCTCCGTATCATAGCCCTAAATTGATACTTCGAAATCAACAGCAAATTGAACAACTTGTATTTACTAGAAGCAGAGTTTTACATTTCAACTTTACGTCTTTCATCGTTGCAAAAATTTATAAACAGTAAGACTCCTTAATACCTGTGGAAAAGCTTCAATGAATCCGATAGCATTAGCTAGTCTGCAAGCTTCACGTACGTCATTCATTGTTTTACCAGTCGTGCCAAGCAAGATATTTTCTGCTATTGTGCCACAGAACAATACTGGTTCCTGACTAACCAGTGCCATTTGCTCACGTAAATACCTAAGTGATATTTTCGTGATCGCATTATTACCCAGGTTCTAAAAGTAGGGTATTGCTGCGAGCACGAAATTAAAGTAGTATTACAATGTTATCTGTTTTTATTGCTACCGATAGTCATTCCTGCTGTTCACCATAGAAAAAGAATCGTTTTGTTTTTAAAGTCTGTGAACAATCACTATTGTAAGTAAATTCAGCTCTATCATATCTTTAATAATACTTAAAAATGTTCGAAAAAACTCAAACTCCTTCATTCTTCCACAAATAATAAAAAGACTTCTTCATCAACTTGGTAGTTTGCAATTTATAATAACAAATACGCTAAGTTATACATGTCTAAGCTGTGACAACAGACTTACCAATTCTCCAGAATTAAATTGATAAAAACGCTCCAGTAATGCGATAACAGTACTTTTGCCACTTCCAGATGGCCCGGTAACAGCAATTTTTTGTCCCTTAAATTTCATGTTCAAATGGATTTTATGAAGGCATTTATATTAACAGATGGTTAATTTTTAATTTGAACTGACCGCATAAGCTGTCAAATTAAGACCATTAAGAATATTTCGCTGAGGTCTTGTTGGATAAGAGAAATGGATTTTCTTAAATTCAACATCGCCCGTTATTTCCTGAAAATATTTTTCAATTAACAAGTAGATTTTTGAAATAAAGAAGAATATTTAGATAGTATTTTTAAGCATATTAATTTTTAAGTACTTAAAGAATCAAATGGTATTTCATCTAAAACATATTAAAATACTTTAGATTTAATAAATTTCAAAGGTAATGCAATGCTAAAGTTTACCGAACATGTTCCTTGATCAATAGCATTCGAATTACTTCCAGTATTAATGATCTGAAATAATGAATCAGAAGCTGGAGATGCCATGACGAATGTATTCAAACAACCAGCAACCATAATTAGTGCCCATCCACTGGTTGAAATTGACATTGTAGCTCTGAAATATTAATTTGCTTAAAGTTAAAAAAGTATTAATGAAAGTAAATGTAGTTGCAGTCTTTGCCATTAATTTTTTTCCACTAGGATGGCGGCGTTTGAAAAACAATAGCGCCCACATACTTCTTTTGATGTTGAGCATTAGCTGTATAACTTACGTGAAAACGTTGTTCGGTGTAGAGTATCCGTAGTAGATTAAGGCAATTCCTATTGCATAAGATAACATATCACTAAAAAACATAAAGGAGGATGTAACCGCAAAAAGTATTGCTTCATATGGGCCACTTTTCTTCTGCAGGCGCAATAGTTCCTGGATTTGTTGGGCATATTCCTGGTGGAAGTGCTCTTCTCTTGTGATCAATTGAATTGTTCGTGTCTGTTCCACAATTTCGATCGCCAGCTATTAAAAACTTATTAAAATATGCTTTCTTCTCTGTTTCGTCCTGATGATTACAATTAAACAACTCATTTAATGTTTGAACTAAGCTCTCAATTCTCACTAGCAATTACTCCTTGAATATCTTCTTTCTTCTGCATATTATTATTGTTATTTATTATTATTATTAATATTATCATCATTATTATTGGCATTTATTATATTGCCATTATTATTATCATCCACTTATTTATTTATTATTACTAGTTATTATTAGAATTTTGCCTTTCAAGTGGTTGATAAAATGCGCATGCAGAAAAACAGTGTTGACGGTAGGAAAGAGATTCTGAGATGATTAACTCACTTTTTTTATTAATACTCTAGTACTGATGATTTTTCCTGTTTTGACTGCAGCGGACTCTGTCATTAGGATCTTTCCGAACATTTGTTATTATAAATCATACAAAACGTTTAGCCTTAAAAACTTCTTCACTCGACTAATTTCATACGTTCCCTACATGATAAGATGAACCAATGAATTTTTTGAAGAAATGGACCAAGAGTGCAAGGGAAATAACCTACTTGCCCGGTAAGATCTTCTTTTAAGGCATGTTTACTTAACTTCTGCATTTGACGTGCGATGAGCAATAGCAGCAAAAGGAGTGTTAGGAGATTCCCAGTGCCAACAGCGCCAATTTGCCAATTAAATACTACCGAAACAATAACCATCACAACAATTGCCACAACATTATTCATAATTTGCATCATTCGTGAATCGAGAGCCTGTAAAAAATAAGAAAATCTTAACTTTATCTAAATTTTTGCAGTAGAAATATGCTGTGTTATTCTGTTAAATTATGCGCAATATGACACTAAAGAAATAAATTATAACCAAAATTATGTAGTAGGAAAAATATACGTCAAGAATAAAAGCATTTCGGGGATGCTTACTGCTTTAACGTTTGGAGCATCGACAGATATACGCGTGACTGTTACAGCGGGACTTGTAGACGGCGTATCAAAATATGCCGCATCTTGATAAAGTACATTTCGAAAGGCTCGAAGACGTAGGAAATCTACAACACATTCCGCTGTCCATCCAAACAGAAATGTCTATAATTCAAAGTTAATAATAATACTTCATTTTAACAGTAACACTTTGACATCTGCCTAATCAAATTAATTTTTCTAACCACTAACTAATCGAATACCCTTCAAAAACAGTTTAGATCAACAAAAAGACTCTCGCAAATTTCAAGTTTCTTATAAAAATTCCAACAACACTTACTGCAGCAAAGAGAACAATTACGCATGCAACGCCTAATGCAATGTAAATAATAACAACAGGCAAAATCCGCCGCATCATTAATCCCAAGTCTGTCTGTGCGAATGCATCAAATGTAAGGTCGAAAATGAGTACAAAAGCTGGCAATTCCATTCCACGAAGCAGTGATGCCAGCAGTGCCAAAATTAATTTACCGTAATTGCCGTGACAGTTCTTATATAGTTGCCATAAACCTTTCGATTCATTTTCCTTCTATAAAAAGTGACTTATTCTTCAAGCGCATTAAAAGAATTATTTCGAACAGATCTGTAGAAGACAAAGAGAAAGATAACAAGAAACATCCGCATCGTAACAAACATAATCAAAAGTTTCTATCCAAAAAAAAAAAATCAGTTATTTAACTCCCAAATAGTACTTATCTGGGGAACAATGCTTTTCAAAAATAAGTATTACCACGAAATTAATTTACTTTAAATCTTCTATTTGAACTAGTCACAAGTATCAGGTGTGATGAGCCAATGTCAATGGTTGCTGAGGCATATTTCATATTGCGCATATACTAGATATATTTTTTCTATTTTAAATTTTTTATTTGCTCTTTGTTTTAGTTGTCATCAGCTGACAAGTCAGACAAAGTTTTATTTCATTCATTCTGCACCTTTTAGATAAACAAAAGCAGTATTTTTTAATGTGCCCAATTATTTAAATTTGCTAAATTTAACTTTTAAAATTCAGAATGTTAATCTTAGCTAAATTATTTCAACACTAGACATGATATAGTTTGCTTTCTTCTGAATGTAAACACAATTAAGAGAAAAAACATAATTAATAAAAAAGAATGAAGACGTAATAAATTAATCTAAAAAAGAAACTTAATTAAGCCAACCTTTCCATTCGATCCAATAATTTTTTCTGTTGTTTCTTTAATAAGTGATGTGCGTTTTACATCACCACTCATAATACTGCCTCTTGTTATAGATGACAATATACCGTAATTTGACGAATTGCGACTACTTCCATTACTAAAAAATTCTAGCTTTAAATAAGTTGATTCTTCAGTTGTCAAAAATCCCTCGTTTCTAATATCCTAAAATCTTAGCTCAAGCTGTTAGCCATTTTTGGAATTAGTGTCTTGAACACATTAATTCAACTTGTTGATTTTGTAAAATTTTATAAAGTTTTTACCCCAAATACATGATTATCAAAGAGAAAGATTTTACGATCTATGAAATGCTTGTGATGGAAGCTCGTCAACCGGAACAGGTGACATATCCTGTTTTTCCTCAAATTGTTGCGATTTGACCAGTGATGCGTAAATACCATCTTTTCGGTTGCAAAGCTCCTTATGAGTTCCTGGAAAATGAAGAGAAGTTCACGAAAATTAATGAAGACAAACTTTGAAACTGAGATTGTTGCTGCATTGTACAATGTTACTTTATAAGCAGATTTCTCTGAATCGGAATATTTAATTAGTTCTGACTGAAAATCAGTAAATAAAATATTACTTAAAACATCCGTGAACTAATTTTTGATGCAAATAATCCCAATGAAAATAGGATATATCATGCAAATAATCACAGCACTTACCAATTTCTGCCACCTGACCTTTGTCCAGAACGATAATTTGGTTAGAATCACGCAATGTCGACAATCGATGAGCAATAACAATTGTTGTACGTCCAATAGATGCCTAGATAATTTATTTATAGCTGTAAAATGGACGCATCCATTACTCTTGAAATTATAAATAAACAATAAAAATAGATAGATCAACAAAATTGAGCTAATGATGTAAACAGGTAAATTAATTCGGCTTATAATAAAGAGCAAATAAAATTACATTGAAAATATGAAACTTGTTAATAAATAGAGTTGAAATAACAACAAAAAAAAAAAAGGAAATCCTAATGAGACCTTTTTAAGGGCGTTTTGTACCACTACTTCACTTTCAGCATCCAACGCACTGGTAGCTTCGTCTAGCAGCAGAATTTTCGGGTTCCGAGCTATCGTTCTCGCAATCGCTATTCGTTGTTTTTGTCCACCGGATAGTTGTATACCTCCAGCGCCGATCTTCGTATCATAGCCCTTTCATTTATTTTTTGTTTCATTTTTAAAAATCATATTTTTTTTAAAATAATCTTTCTATACTATGCTTGTCAATATTTTGTGACATTGATAATGTTAATCATTCTGCTATTGTTATTTCATAAACGCACATTACCTCACTTAGTTTACTAATAAAATCATGTGCATTCGCAGTTTTGCATACATCGATGATTTCTTGATCCGTAAGATTAAGATTGCCAAGTCGTACATTTTCTTTTACTGTGCCGGTGAACAGCAGCGGTTCCTAAATTTGAAAAACAGAACTATCAGAAAAAGGGAAGTGCAATTAAATCTCTACACAAATAAAAAAAAGCAATAAATATTAGGTACTTCACATAGTTTGAAGACTGTTTTGAATTAATCAGATTGTTATGATATGCTGCAAAAAAGAACACAAATAGCAGAAAATAAAAAATAATTTTTTAAATTATGAAGTTAATGAAATGCCAACCTGCTGTACAACACCAACAACATTTCTTAAGCTATGGACATTAATATCAAGCACGTTAATTCCATCAATCAAGACTGTACCAGAATTACAGGTGTATAAGCGAGTAAGCAAACCAATCTGAAATCTGATAGGGATGAATGACATACATGAAGGTGTACCTACGTACCTAACAGAAAGATGTGAGTACACATTCTTCTGCCAAATTCATATAGGTCTACAAATTAATGTTACCAGAAACAATGCAATTAACCTAATAAAATGAAACATTAAAATATAGAATATCATAGTACTGAACATGATAATACCGAATATCACAGGAACTAAACTTATGATGAACTAACAGAAGTGCTTTTGCCACATCCACTATGACCCACAAACGCTATCGTATCACCCGGTTTTGCAATCCATGACAATCCATTCAAAACCAGATGTTCTTTGCTAGTTGGATATGAAAACTTAACATTTCGGAATTCCACCTGACCTTTGACTTCCTTCAACTTTATGCCATCTGTTGAACTGGAATCAATAGACGGTTTCTGAAACTCGAAATTAAAATTAAGCTAAATATAATAACAATCAGTTACAACAAAGCATGTGCTAAGAAGTCACTAAAAGCATAAATACTACTGAAAATGATAGACAATCTAATTACTAAGAAATGTAAATGGCTATTATCCTTCATGCTTCAGCTTAACATCAAAGTCGTCATTTAATGAGTAAACTTTCAGATTTTCGACAAACCTAAATAAACGATGTGCCATCGGCCAGAGAAAGTTAACCTACTCGATCAATTATTTTGTAGATATCAGCTGCAGCAACTCGTGCATTAAGTACAGCCATCAGGTGTGGACTGAGTACACCAAGATAATAAGAACCGAACATAATGACATTTGCAACAGCAAATATAAATCCCGGATTGGTTACTGCACGGATTTGATATAAATAGGCACCGTAGCTGTAAAATAGTTGAAACATATTAAAAAGTGATGAAATAATCCACAAATTTTTAACAAATTTAAATAATGCTTGCATTTATTTTCTTCGTTAATTAACATTTTGATTTTTGATTCATTCAGGAACTTAAATAATTACTGTGCTGTCCTTGGTAATGCCCAGATCAAAAATAACTAATAAAAACAGTAATAATTGAATTTTGACAAAAAAATTAAGGATTTGGAAAACTTACAAACAAAAATATGGGAAGTTAAAACAATTTTAAATTAGAGAAATTTAAAAGTCGGACAAATAAAGATAAATAAAAGAGCAGAAATTGAAGTGATAAGTTGCGGAAAGAATGCGAGTGGAGGAAATAAGTATTTGAAATTCAAATGAAATTCAAGTTTTAAACAAGGAAACCTGAATGGAACTTACTAGAAGCCAGCAGCGAAGAAAAAATACAAAATGAAGAAGAAGAGACCGTCGAAAAAACCTGCAAACGCATATGCACGCAATGCAAATCTACGACAAGCTTTTAGTGCTTTTGCATATCGTCCGATCATTGTTTCTTGCGCATTGCATGCAGCCACTGTTTTCACATTTATGATTGATTCTTCCAGGATTGCTGCAGCACGGCCATCAGCGCTGATTTGTTGACCACTTGAACGTTCCACTTGCTGCAGATGGCCCAAAGGTAGTAATTAGGTGTTAAGCATAAATTTCAAATGAGAAATTAGTCAATCATTTTACATAAATTTTCGCGGACTTATTTCAGATTTTTTGGAAGATATTCACAAGCTACTAAAAGCATACTCGAGCCATAAGGGACAGAAGCGCAGCAGAAGCAGGCCCTGTGCCAAGCATTACCAGAGTTATCCGCCATTCATAGATGAATCCAATGACCAAAGAGGTTAAAAACATTGCTACACCACGTAATATCATGCCTACCTTATCACCGATACCATCCTTAATCTTTTCTATATTCCTGAAATTGAATCATCTGCTGTTAGATGGTTGTAAAATAAGAAGCAATTTTATTTCATTCTATTTTTAATCATTCCCGGAGTAGGTAAGGATTTGTAGTACAATAATAATATTCACGCGTTAAGTTGAACAGTCAGTGTTCCACTCTTCTGTTGATCAAACCATGTCGCATCTTGGCGCAGTAATGACTTCATGTATTCTTTTCGCATCGTGCATGTTATATTTAATGATACATTTTTTAAGCAAATATACTGAAGATAGAAATGCATTAATATTGCCATAAAGTTGACAGATTCAAGTTTAAGATTAGATTAGAGCTCAAATCATTTAAGTTTCAATAATCGGATTGATCAATTTTACTAATTTCAGCAATGCTTTCTTTTGAAACTTCAAAGTTCAAAGTTTAAATTCTTTTTTGATAAAATAATTGCGATAAATAAAATGAACTTGTGTGATGGTGACAATAACCATCGAGACTCCAATTGATGCATAAAGATAAATATATACATAAGCCTGGTACCAAAATGTGTCAGATTTTTCAAACTGCAAGTTTTCCCAAATATATATATGTATATTTAATTATGCAGCAAGATAAGCCAGCTCTCTTTTATCAGTAAAAAATATTACTTGTATCAATGTTTTAACATGAAGTTAAAAGTCTCCATATACGATGAAATACTAACAGTGAATGATAAATGAAAAAACCCGAGATGAAATTTTTCAGAGGCAAAAAGTATGAAAAGATAAAAAACAGATAGAAAACTCACATTTTTTGTCACTAATAAAATATTTGTTATTTTACCACCAATTAAACAAATCGTCGGTTGGCCTATACCACAAATTACAGCCAAAAAGGCTCCGAGTATCATCATGAAGCGATCGTATGTAGTAGCGAATCGGAACTGCAGGGACAGCAAATTCAATTCATTTATTTGACATAAATAATTCATATAAATTGATAAAAACTTCCCAAATATTTAACCAAATAATTGTAGAAAATACCAGTTGAAAGAATGAAACCGGCTTCGCGTCAAGTTTTTGCCTAGCAAAATCGCCTCTGAAAGCAATTTTAGAGCTTAAATATTTATTAATTTCAAATAAGTATATTTATTAATTTCAAAAGAAATAGATATGAAAAATGACGATAATCCTTTTAAATCAAAGAATAACTTTTCCTTATTAAAAGATTTATGAGCAAATTTTCTTTCATCTCTTTCACATATTATTTTTCCCTCATTAATCTTTATCAACAGATCCCTTGGTACCTGCATAGAATCGTACTGATAAATTTATCGATAGCACTTTGCTCATACTGTTCGCTAAATGCATCCGAGAATTCATTACCAGTTTTTAGCACTGTCATCCTTTCAAAATTCTATTTTAAGTAGCCAATCACGTAAATTATGTTAAACCAATTTATGTGATAACTAAAATTATTATTAAAAAGTTTCTGCATATGGGATAAAAACAACAATGTGCCCTAGTTACAAAGGCAAGCAATATGACGAATTGAAGTTATGTAAATGTAAAATGAATTCTGAATTGATCAATCTGTTGGGATATGATTTCCTGGCGAGGAATATTTTCTCTAACTTCAATTTTTTTTTTAAAACTATTTAAAAGTGTCTCATGAAAACTCAGATGTGCTTGTAGGCAGCTTATGCTGGCAAGTAAATAAGGTTAAACAGTAAGGAAATAGTAATTAATGAAAAAAAAGTTGTATAGGTAATGGATAATTGGGAAATAGTGTTGATGAGGACTAATATTTGCACAGATCCATGAATCGATCTGAGAATGAATTTGCATTCAAAAAAAAATTCTGTAGAAACATTAAACATTTTACACGTATGTGACACAAAAGATTGATCATTTTCTACAAAATTCTGCATTTCACCTGTCGAAAAATAAGAAAATGACGGTATATGCACTTCGCATGTCATCGCATGTGGAGGGTCGATTTTTTAATGATCAATTAAATGGCTAAATGTGTAATCAGTTCATTTTATGAATGAATTTCAAGAACAGCTCAGTGAAAATGGCTACTAAATTAAAATAACCGCAATTATGTGCGATTGGAAGGGAAAAAACTACAGGAAGAATACAAACTTTAAGTTCCATTTTTCTCAGCATTTGCCATAATATGTGTGTACAGGTTGGTGCTTTTTTTAAATAATACTTAGTATTTGGCTTTTAATCAGCTTAGTAAAAGCAAAGGTCAGCGTTTTTTCGACATTATTTGATATGTAAGCAAAAGAGATTGCATTAAAAGTTTGGAAATAAACAACGAATTTAAAATAAGCATAGAAAATATGTTTTAGTTCCTTATCAGAAATCAAAAATTAGGATTCATTGACTATACTATATAATTCCAAGGAAACGCATAGTTTCAAATGGATTCTCAATTATACCTTTCACAATTATTGTTTGTCATTAAAGATTCAATTCTCTGTTTCAAAGATGATGATGAGGTAGAGTAACAAGAAGACAATCTACGAAATGAAGAGTGACAAGAAGACAATCCATGAAATGCAATCTTACTTTATTGCAAAGTGGTTAGTCTCATAAAAGGTTTTCACTACAAATATTTTTGCAAAGTATTTTATTCCAGTTTCCTTCTTTTTCTCAGATGTTCAGAGTTGTCACACAAGCTAAAATAATGTGCAGAAGAGAAGAATTTGATCAATATGTCCGATACAAAATAAAATTTGATTTTACCGCTTGATTTTGCATATGTATCAAGCGTGCAAAGAGAACTCACCAATATTGTCTACGACTTTTTACAATACTATAACTTTGTTCAGGATAAAATCCGGTTTCAACTTATTTTAAGCATTGTCGACTCCTTTTTCAACTAAAGAAATGATCATAATGGTATAATACAAATCTAGTAATGTATCAGATGACAAAATAAGCAAACTGAACAATAAGAGAATGTATTCCAAAATCAAATAGCAAATAAGGATCACTTCTGACCAACTTCAGTCCTTAGTGTTTTTTATGATGTCTCTCCTAGATCACATTACAATTCCATTCAATGGTTGTATCTCTTTCTACCAGGTGCTTGAAAGCTACAAAAAACAAAACATTCAATGGTTAACATTTCAAAAAAATGCAAAAAACAGCCTTAGAAATGCATAAAATATTGCACTGAGTGGAAAACAACCAATAAACTATACACATACATGAGCTCTCATATATATATATATATATCATATTTTACTTTTTACAGCAATACTTACACTGCATTGTAACTTAAATAATGCGAGGGGACAAAAAATAAAAGTTGAAAATAAGTTTATTTGATCTGTTCAAAATTTTATTGCATGATAAGAGACTATCACTAGTTTATTTATACTCATATCAATCTTATTTACGACAGCAATTAATAAATTCACTAATTTTATAATTCCCTTGTTTGTCAATAGAAATAAAATTGACTTAGATCTGAAAGAATTAACTTTTATTCCTTCGCACTTATATTAAAGTATCTAAATCAAGTTTTAGGCTTCTGAAAAGTGCCTTACATATTTTACACCTACATCTAACGAATCACCCCGAACTCAACAACCTCTCCCAAAATAATAACTAAATCTTCAAAACTTGTGCTACATCTAATCATGGATAGATACGACGACAACAACGTTTTAGAGGTATTTAGGCTTTAAGTATTTAGGCTTTTTTTGATGATCCTAGAGATCGGACTGCTGAAGATTTGTTGGAATAAAAACTGAGCTATAATTAGAACATTTCTTAATCATATGATTATTGAGGCTTGTACTTTTGACTAATACCTTGACAAAGCTACCAAGATTTGTTTTATCAAATCGATATTGAATTTTAACGAAAATATCAGTTTTTCTTTTTACTTTTTAACAAATAATGAGACAAGACGGGTTTATTCTCGTATACCTTATGAACAACTAATGAAGAATCTTGTTTTAATTGTTTTGATAAATTCAAAAGAACCGGTTTTTATTCGGAAATATTTTTTTCCTACGCAACATTTTCTTCTGAATCAGTTTTTTCTATATTGTTTAAAATTGTTCTGCATGATAGCAATAATTTATATTAGGGCTAGCTGTCGAAAATTTACTAATCCGAAAGATCTCGATTCTCTATCACAACCAATTTATGTTCATAACGATGAAAAATTTCTTCCGTTCACAAAATGCGTGTTTCAGTTGTTTTTCCGTTGTGAAACAAATTTCATAATTCTACAAATCTTGAAAAAATGAAACGGTTCACTATGTCCATATCAAAAGATTATTTTTAAACTCTTTCCACGTTACATGCAATGAAAATATTTTATCTGCAGGTGTCTGTTTCACAGTGCAAAATTGAGTGAAACAATGTAAACACCGCCATTGTTTAGTGAAGAAGATAGTAGACACTGATTTCATGAAAATCGCATCGATTTGTAAAATATACTCGGTTAAATTTTCTATATTTTTTCTTGGTTCCGATTCAGTTATGACTCAGCTGTGAATTTTGAAAGTAAGTAATTTTTGAATTCCGACAAGTGACAAAGTCATATTATTTTGGTAGAAGAGAGGGAAGAATTTTTATTAAATAAAAGAGTCGAAGATTGAAAGATTGGAAGAATTGCCAAATCTTCAATAATACGAAAAAAAAAACAAATAAATAAATAAAAATAAATTGAGCAATCTTGAAACCAAAAAGCTTGAAATACAAAGATCTATCAATTTTATAAATAAAAGCAAAATCACCAATCTACATTAGTGATACACTATTTCATAAATTGTCTAGAATTTGGTTCATGTCGTTTCTATGACATGAATAAAGCAAATAAATCTTTTACTTGGTACTAACTGGTAATACAAAGGAAAAGAGACAAACAATGTTTTGAAAATTCTTTGAATTTAATAAACTGAACATTCATAGCGTCTTTCTTTCAGCTGAAAGTAGATCAGTTTAAGTTTAAGAATTGGCTGATATTGGTCAAGCTACGATGAATAAATTATCAATATGATCTGTTCACATAGTAGACTAATAATAAATCATATGTGATAATTACAAATGAATGTGCTAACATATTCATTACTAATAAATTATAATTATGTAACTTATTTGTGAAAAGATGAAATAAATTGACAAATTGGTAAAAGCCTGTCGGTGGTAAGATTTAATTCAAAAGCGCAGAAATAAAAGCATACGGTCAAGATCGAGCACCACATTGAAAGTTGAATTTCGAAATGTTCATAAACATTCCACAGCAGTTGAGCACATCGGCATCCAGCTGTGTTCTATTCTTATAAGTAAGAAATGGCAGAATATAACACGGTGGAGTGAATCTCACACCTAATATTTCTTTAACAGACAATACAGTAGCGATCACGGAACAAATCACAGTTAGCACTGCAAAATTGGCTATATTTAATTGGCTGAAAATTTAATTCGAATAAAATTAAATTGAAATGATGGATGATTCCTTCTTTAGCAATAACATTTACATTCGTATTTTTTTTTTTTTTTTTTTTTTGTAAAATCCATCAATTTTTTCTGTTGGAACATACCATTTATAAGTATTAAAATTGAAAGTAGAGCTTTCGGTGTTTTTTGCAGCGCTCTGAAATTTCACAAGTAGTTGACATTTTAAGCTGCTACTTTTTTTTGCAGATATTGTTACACCAATGATAAAGAATTGTAGATGCAATAATTGATGACTAAGTTAACTAAGTAAATCATTTACGATCTAACAAAGAGACAAAAGTTCATCTCTAACCTCGGTCATGCATCAAAAGAAATGCATCACTTACTCGAGAAATGTCGGCTTAATCCATATGTTATTATCTTTATCATAGGTAGCAGCTTTAATATAAATATTAAATAAGGTTGGTAAAACGACACATGTACAAGGTACTGCGGTACTTCCAAATAAATTCATCACAGAACCAAAGTTGGGGAGTGACATGCCAACAAATAATGCTGTAAGCAATAGGCTTGTGCGAACTAACACTCGTTTGAAACAGAATTCTGCAATAAATTACATTAAAATCAAGAGACAAAAACAGGAATATTTTTGCAAGCCATATCTTATTCAGGCTACCTTGTAATGTAATAGAATGTTGGTCAAATGCGGAAGCTCCGACAATTGGAGGACAGTTCTCAATCCGGGACAGTACTTCATCATCACATTATATTTTGAATGAGAATGCGAATAATTTAAGAAAAGTAACTGACTCTGCGGCACATCGAACGTGTCTTCCAATTGCAGATTGATCGGATTCACGGTGATAATAATAGCAAGAATACAATGTATCGCTATGGATAAATCAGCCACGTAACGAATCCAAGTTGTCTGCACTGAATCAATCACTGAATTGGCCATACTGTCACCGTATA